CCTCCATTCCATATTAAGTTAATTTTTGAGGTGTTTCACACCCTTTAAGAAAAGAAGATTAAGACATGAATTAGGTATAACTTTCCATTTTTACCTTTATTAATTATTGTCAAATTTATGATTAAAATAACTAAATATTAATTAATCACTAATTCCACTACTAACTAATGAAGGGCAAAATTGGAAGAACACTTTAAATGTAGTCTTGAAAACTGAACAATTAAGTTAATTTGAAAAATTAAAAATGTCTCAACAATTCAATTAATTTGAAATGAAGGGAGTACTACAAAGAGATGTTTTACTTTTTGCATTAGAAATCGAAAGATAAAGCATTTACATAAATTGAATACACATACTCCATGTCTTTTAATTTATCTAGGTCATTTATTTGCTATATTATTATTTATTTATATTTAGGGAAAAAAACAAATATACCCCTGAACTATCGTAAATGGTACATAGATACCTTCTGTTATACTTTTGGGACATTAGTGCCCCTGCCGTCCAAAAATTAGAGCATAGATGCCCTTCGCTCTAACATATTTTGGTCCCACTTATATATATACTTACTATATTTACTAATTTAATAGAAGTTTTATTTCTCTTATTTTATGTGAAGGAAAAATGACAGAGTAATTTATGATTATTATTTAATATTTAATTAATAAAATATTTTATAACTTTTTTATTTAGTATAGGAGTAAAATGGTAACCCAACTTTAAATTTTTGAGCTTTTTGCTTTTAATAAATTTTTATTTTTATTATTTATTATTTATTGTTTATTTATGATCATAAGATGATAAGTTAGGAAAATGAAGAGTTGTAGTTATGAAGTTGATTTTAAATGAAAAAATAATTCTTTAAAATTATTTTAAGAAAATAAATTAATAGGAGGTGTAGTTTTGACTTATATATATATGTTAATAAGTCAATGTTTATTACTTCTAGAAGTAATTATTACTAAGGGAAAAATGAGAAAAATATACTCAATTATATCTTGATTTTCTAAATTAACAATTATTTTGAACCAACTTTTTTTAGTACATGTTTCTTGTCTTTAATTTTTTCATGCTATGAAATAAGAAAGGTGAAAATTGTTGCCAACAATTTCCATGTACCATCATCATTAATTTTCTTGCAGAAAACATTCAAACTATAAAAGGTTACAAAAAGTGATTTAAGTTATCAAATTAATACTATGAAGTTGGTGAATGCAATCAAACCTTAACATAATTGAAAAGAGTAGAGATATATGGCTGAAATAATAGCGGTTTTATTTGATATAAAAAAACAAATTGAAGTTGTGAAAACAAGGCATGAAGTTCTACTATATACATTTATATGTCATAGCCAACATTCAGCCTATAAGCCCTACTTAATTAGTTCTTGTTCCCACACTTCATTTGAACAGCCAAAGTCTTAAAGATGTCAGGGCATGGGTCCTTGCTCGGCTCGTCGTAAATTTCTCTCTCAATTGGGATTGTGCACGAGTTCTTCCCTAAGCATTTCTCTTCTGCAACTTGCATACTCTTTGCTGAATTGCAAGTTCCAACAATCAAGTTTCCACAAGCACCATCTGGATTACCATAACTAGCAAATTCAACTTTTTCGATGATTTTGTCGTCTGGGCATGTTAAATGTGCTCCTGTTTTGAGATCTTCTACTATCGCGACAAAGTTAGTACCAGATCTCTCCCATGATTTTACATTTGGAGGATGATATTCCGTGATGATACTGCATATTGTGTCTCTGTTTACTGTTTGGATTTCAATATCTGCTGGATTACCACCGGTTTCCTCAAACACAACTAGGACATTGTCAGTTGGCTTCAAGAAAGCTCTTGGAATGTGATACCTGAAAATGAAATATCACACGTTAAATATGTTACACTTTTCGAAACTATTTACTATATACTAATTGATTGATATACTTACTCGAACTGAGTGGGTTGTCCAAGTGGGGAGAGGAAAGATGACCAATAACGACCAAGGCTATTACCATTCACCCACATCATACCCTTTTGCATTTTGTCCATTTTCACAGCCAATGGGTTGTTGCCTTCAGGTGCTTCAAAGGTGGTCTGCGTTATATATATCGTCAGTATAAATAAAATTATTCATCAACAATTTAATAAAGAAATGTGTTTACCTTGTACCAAGTAACAGCTCCATTAGTAGGACCAGTTACTGGTGTCCATTTTACTTTCTTTGCACCCTCTTCACTGAATAATTGCTCTTTCTCTCCAAATACACCAACCTATTAAATGACCAACACAATTAGTATATTTTTTAAAGATCGAATATAATTATGTATCGTAGATATATATACATATACCTCATGTCCCCAATCGTTTTGAGTTATATCAAGAGTACCAGCCATCAAACCTTGAATGGTTATTGCTCTGGGTCCAGCAAACCTCTTTTCCATGTAGGCTCCGCTATTCTGCGTTCATAAACACTTGTTAGTAAACATATAACCGGTTAAATTGTACTGATTTCTTATGAGGAAGAAAACGTATACCGGGAAGCCAACTGTCTCAGCTAGAATTGAGATGGTGTTAGTTCCAGGCTTCAACACGATAGGCTTCTGGAATACGAAGCTCTTCTCGATGTTGTTACCATGTCCAAACCCTGAATTGTAATATGAACAAATGTAATTAGGTAAAGAATTTTTATGTTATTAGTGAAATTTAACTGACTATGACTAACAATGTACATACCAATGTATTCTCCGTTAACAAAGGCAGCTAATGCATGACCCATACTTGCGATTTGTAGCACGGGGAGGATGTCAGGTCTCATGGGCAAGTCATGGCGATCGAATTTGATACTATAATGTAACAATTTCCACTATTAGAGTAAACTCAATATGATGAATTAAGATAGATTTAAAAATGTTAATTGTAATTACCTTGTACTGTACCAAGCATAATCTGAGGTATCCTTAGTCAAAGTATAAAGTTCCAAAGGTTCCCTGTTTTTAAGTGATAATTCACTTATGGTTGGGACTTTTTCTTGGTACTTTTCCCATTTTAGACCCTTTGCCTTCTCTGATGCCACAAAGTTCCTTGAATTGTGTTGAGACACAATCTGTTTGTAAAAAAAAAAATTGAATTGTTATTGCGCGTTTTCAAATGATATTGCTTCATTTGTATCATCACAAATAAACGTTAAGTTTACCGTTTGAGTGTTGTAGACAACAGTCTTGCAGTCGGGGAGAATGCTAACGGATTTCTCAGGTAGGTAATAATCTTTACCCCTGAATTTGACTGTCGCGGGGTTAGTTGTGTGGTTGTTGGTTAAAAATGCAGCACAATCACTTCCTTTCTTCTCATAAATTGTAATCTGTAAAATAGTAATAATGTTTAATAGAAGAGCTTGTTTATGATCAATTACAATATTTTATAATTAATTACCTCAATGTCTCTGTTAACTTTTTGTACTGTGGGAGTTCCCCAAAGGAGAGCCCTTCTGGATAGCCTCAAAGCCCTGTGTAAATCCCTCAAATGACTCCATTTTGGTTCCCTAAACAAACCTGAAAACATATTGACCGCGATTAGATTATTTATTCTGTAACATATATTACACTCTCGATGGTGCATAGAATTTTTAAGGTAGCAACACTAACCGAACTCATCAAGAGGAGCTTCATCATAGTAACGAGTTGTCACGAATGATGAGCTTGTCCTTCCATAGTTGGTTCCACCATAGTACTGGAAAACATAGAATGTAATTAGTTTTAGATATGATCAAATTAAGGTTTACGAGAAAATTAACAAATTATATCAATATGTACCATGTAATAGTTTGTAAGAGTTCCATTCTTTGCGAAGAAACGGGCTACAGAGAATGCAATATCCTCTGCTGCTCTTTGTGATGGTGGATCTCCGAATGTCCTGTACTGAGCGGTCCAATTTTCAGTCCATAGAGAAGGTTTGTTAGGACCATTGGGACCTTTGAATGTATCTGCACAATGCCTTCCATTGCATGTGTTGATCTGAAAAAATAAAATAAAATCGAAAACAGAGTTATGTACATGTTGTTTTTACATTTTAAGTAATCAACCTATTTCGAGATAAAACTTACGATATGTGGAGGGGCATCCTTTTGCTTACACATGATCCATGGGACTCCATCGTATAGTGAAGTTGCCATATTGGCAGCCCACTCGACGTATTTCTTACCATTATCTCTGTAAGCTAGTTGAACATTGTTGTATTCATTTTCGATTTGAGCCATGATGATAGGGCCTCCTTGAGGTGCAAACAACTTTTCCTTCTTCATCAAATCAATGACCATTTCTGAGTACTTTTTCATGTGGTACTGCAAATTAAGAGAACGATTAAGCCTCTATATTCATTTGAAATAAATTATACTCTTTGAAGTTTTTCATCTGTAAACTATGAATACGTACGATGAATGGTTCATTGTAAGAACGGAAGGTGATGTTTGGGACCTCCCTTAGCCAGTATGGGAATCCTCTGTTCCATCATGATCAACAAGTCATTATACAAATTATAAACAAAATATCAACTTAGACAGATTTATGTATATTTATACCCTTGATTCCATTCAGCCTCGATATATGGTCCGATCCTGAGGGTGACATACAAGCCCTGTCGAGCAATTTCCTTGATGAACTTGACAACGTCATAGTTTCCTTCAAAGTTGAACTGCATATTCATCGACAACCATTAAATATATGATTCGAGATATATGAATGAACATGTTTGTTAATTACCTGGCCTTGAACGGGCTCGTGGATATTCCAGAAAACATAAGTCTGAATAAGGTTTAAACCTCCCTCCTTAGCTTTCCTTATAATGTCTGGCCACATCTGAAAACATTTGATGATAATAAAGTGGTTACATGACCAAATGTACGTATGTATAGGTTCAGAATGAGCGTGATCATATTGAAATTACCTGAGGAGGCATACGAGGATAATGAATGGAACCAGAAAAGAGCAATTCTCTTTCACCATTGACGATCATGGAACGACCATCATAAGTAACACCTCTAGGTTTTTCAGCGAATGCACAAGTAACCATCAACGAGAAGAGAACTAACGACAGTAACCGATTTGATATAGCCATATTTTTTGTGTTTTTTTTTAACTTTTTTTTTTTTGGTTAGTATGATCACAGATGAATGCAAATGCAAGGACAAGGAAAAGAAGACAGTAAGCTATAAGGCACCTCTTCCTTTTGTGGAGGAGGCACCAGGTTTACTAGCTGTCTTGTTTCTCTTAGAATGATTATTTTATGTCTCAATTTATAATGTTAAGAGCATACATACATATAAGGCTTGGAGAAATTTAAGGACTTTCATGGCCTATTTTTATTTTTGTTGCTATTTTGTAGTTCCATTGATAAATATATGGTTATTGCTGGAATATGGAATAAGCTGCTAGCATGGCAGGAAATATAACGCACATGTATATAGGATGAGTTTGGCAGGAGCCATCTATCACTTGTGGACAGAGCATAACTGCAGAATATTTCAATCCAAATAGAGAAGTGAAGAGTTCATGATTAGACATATCATTAGAGAAATACATGGAAGAGGATCCTACCAAGAAAGGGCAGGTAGTAGACATCGAGAACTAAATGTTTACCCCTAATATAGCAGTCGAGGTAGAAGTTTAGAAAGTGATGTTTTAGTAAGGCTTGAAGCAAGGATGTCCAAGTCTGTTTTTTCTTTCTTCAAATTGTTGTGTAATGATCACTTTAGTAAATAAAATATTTACTTACAAAAAAAAAAGCAAGTTGAGAGAAAAGAGAAAAGAGACGAATAAGAGAGTCAATGTATTTCGAATACATGCAAATTTTATATGTTTGGATACAATGTATCTGAAAATATTTCACCTAATCTAACTTATGTGTATTAGAGATACGTATATCTATTTCACCATATCACCATTTTATCTCACATGACCAAACATGCTTTGTCTCTCAATTGTTCCCCCCCCCCCCCCCCCCCCTATTTTCTCCTTATTTATTTTACTCCTATGTTATTTCATTTTGTTTGAAATAGTCTTTTTTACTCTTGTCTTATATTATTATTTCTTTTGAAACCAAAGTACCTTAATATAGTTGGTTTTTTCTTTTTTTATTTGCTCTCTTATTTCTTCAATCACACATATAATACTTTGTAGAAACTCGATTTATTTTGCAATATCGATCATATTAATTGGGACCCACCTACATATATATCTTTAACTCTCTCTTTGTATGATTGTTATGCATTATTTTATATTATATTATTCTATTTTTAACCCTACCACTAATGGTTGGTTCAGTTCTGATGATAAATGGACAATTTTGCCCAAAAAATGGGGTGGGCATAATACCGGAAAATTAAAAAATCAAATTGAACCGAATTAATTCGGTTTTTTGGTTTTTGGTTCTTCAATTTTGATTTTTTTATTTTTGATTTGGTGTTCGGTGTAAGGGTCTCAGAAATTCGATGCACCAAAGAATCAAACTTTTATTAAAAGTTAAAATTAAAAATTCTACTAACAATTAAATCATTCATGAAAAAATCAAACTAGCAACAAATGTACAATTCTCAAGAGGAACTCAAACATATTTTATTCAATTCACATTATTTAAAGGACAAATATAGTCTTCATACTTGTTTTCTCGAGAAGTTGTTGGAGACGCAATGTTCTTGATAAAGACAAATATAGTCTTTTAGTTAGCACAATAAGTTTTTCACGGCTAGACACATCATTCTTTAACATAATTTTAAAATTTTAAGTATCTTATACTTTGATTTTGTCCTCATTCTATTTTTCATTCACACCAAAAAATTGATTTAAAAACACCAAATTAAACTGAACCGATGTAGAAAAAATGAACTGAACCAAACCGAATTAGATTGGTTTGGTATACGGTGCACACTTTTCTAAAACCGAAGAACCGAACCGAAGTTTGATAAATATAATTCGTCTCACTCATCTGTTGTCTTCTCTCTGTCCCCTATCTCTCGCTCGCCTCTCTCCTGATCACTCTTCCAATCCCGCTCACCTCTCACGTGTTCTAACATATAGCTACGAATCATGTAATTAAGCAAATTATAGTTATTTTGCCTCATTATATTTCAAAGTCTTTGTTATTTTTTGAAAGTTTTTTTCTTTCATATGGCATGATAACGTATAACCAAATAAACTTGTAGATGCTCAATCCATGGAAGCCAATGAAATGTACCCAGTGTTTTGAGTTTTTATATTTTCCGTTTCAAATTTTATGCTCGGATCTAATTTTTTTATTCATAACATTTGTTTGAAAAAAAAAAAAAAGTTCCCTCACCATTTTTACTAATGACAAAAGGTGAAAAGTACTTTAATCGAGAAAAAATATTACTGTGAAAACTAAAAAGCAATAGAAGAGGTGTGCGAGGAGGTTAAAAAATTAATCGAAGTGACTTTTTTTGTGATAAACCTTTTTTTATATATATATAATTTCGCATATAGCAAGAGTTTATTGTATCCATAATTCATCGACCCAACTTCATATATGAGATACATACATATATACACAAGTCTATGGGACAAGCTAATCCAATAGAAGTATAAATAAATAAATAAATAAATAAATAAAAGATGGATAAACGAAATATTAGTCAAAAATATTTATAAGTCAATTGAGAAAAAAATGGTAACCTTTAGAATTAAAACTCGATTTTGATTATTTATTCATGTAATTGGATTAATAGAATAAGTGTCAAGATTTAGAGAAGCAGTGAAAAGCTTTAAGTTGGATTACCGTTTTACCTTATATTAAATTAAAATATTATAAAAAATATTAATTAAGTATAAATATAGTAATCATATCATAATATACTAAATTTTACATCATTGCTACTTGTTTGTTTCAATTGCCATTAAGATATAATTGGAATATCTCAACTAGATTTTTAATTTTTGTACAAAAATAACTCCATTGTATGAATTTTTTTATGTTTCTTGAAAATATAAATTCATATAATTGATTTTATAAATATTGACAAATAGGCTATATAAATAGGAGAATGGCAGACTTGATTTTATAAATATTTTTCCATTAATGTTTTCTTTGTATTAACACACAATCTAAGTAATTATAAATATTAACAACGTATAGTTGACTTCAAATTCAATTTAACCAACATCTCTTGAATTATTCAATCAAAAGTAAAAATAAAATATTATATATATTTTTATATATATAGAGAGAAAACAAATAAAAGGATGATCAAACAAGTTCTAATTCACTAGCTGGTACTATAAAAACACGGTCAAATCCTCCAGCTTCTCAGGTACTTGAGGAGCACAATACGTTACGTATCTATAGAAACATAACAAAACACAGAAGCCCAAAGTGAAAGCTCTAATATAACTAACAATTCTCCACCCATAATATAAATAAGAATTTGCATTACTAATCCCAATAATACGTCTTTCGCTCCAACGTCATACGCTACATGAATAAAGTAGGCAAAGGTATAGAAATATGTAGTTAAGCCTAATAGTAGACACAAATATTGAACTCCAAAAAGTGATACAAGGTAGCTAGAGTTAGTACAGGAATAACCTCGATCATAAATTTTGCCTTGGCTCCCATCAACCGTAGAGGCATATCGCGATGCCAAATTATAACAAAATGAATCACAATATTATGAGTTACGTAGAGACCAAAGATGATAATAAACATGAAGATATCGAAATCATGAGCAGCTAAATTGAGCAACGCATGGCTGATGCATAACCAGGGAATGTAACTAAAGAGAAGCCAACATATATATATATATATCGTAATAGCTAGCCTACAAATGGACCAAGGTTTGGCATGCTGGCTAAGTACCTAAACTTATTAATGAAAAAGATGAAAATATTGGCCAAGCACGGAGGAACATGCGACGCAACGGAGAGGCGCAGAGTATGGGGAGAACTAATTCTTCAGCCATTTATAATTGTTTATAATATGATCACGTAGGTGTGTCAATGCTACTCCAATAAATCAATTTATGATTCTTATATAGAGAGAGATGTTAAGTCTCCCAATTCTTCTTATTTTTGGAAAACAAGAATCCTAAAAATACTCCTATAATTAATTTAGAGTTCAATTTACTATATAATACTCTTTTTCTTATTTATTTAAATATTAGGGATAAGGGTCTGAAAAATACCCAACTTTGATCGGATTTTCATAAGGACCTATTATCTCCCTAGACTATTTAATACCATATTTTTTTACCCCCTGAACTATTTAATAGTGTATTTTAAAGGTATATATGTGCACACGTGGACACATTACTATTTATAATTTTGCATTATTTTTATGTCCACGTGGGCAAATATATATGTTTAAAATATGGTATTAAATAGTCTAGGGAGGTAATAGGTCCTCATGAAAGTTTAGTATCGCAACAACAAATCCGACCAAAGTTGAGGTATTTTTCAGACCCTTATCCCTAAATATTAATAATAAGTGAATAAATTAAGAGAAATAAGTATTTCTAAAATTAAGAGAAAAGGGCTATATTTGCCCTTGTATTTTTAGAAAAAAAGACCCTTCGTCATACTTTTTTGGATATATTTGCCCCTCCCATCAAACTTTAGTTATATATATACATATATTTTATTTTATTTTTTATTTTTTTATCATAATTTCTTCTTTTTTTTAAAGCAAAAGGTTACAGAGGAGGACAAAACCTTACCTTATACAAGAGTAGCTAGAATGGTAAGCCATTCTTAAAATTTTAACTTCCAAAAATAAAGCAAAAGAGGAAGATTGTTCCTAGTACAGTTAGGCTTCCAAAAAAGTCTAGGATAGAATACCTAGTACCATTCAAGAAGAGTTCAACCAGGGTCGAAGATAAAAGTGTTTTTCCTTAATCTGATTCTAAAGTTTGGACGAGCTTCTTCATCATTCTTCATAGTGGCTACAATCTTCCTTGGTAAGTGTATAGTTTCAGTGAAGAAGTCATTTTTCCTATCAAGCTCCGCAAAGTTGGTCAAGAGATCAGCAGTGGTACTACAAGTTTAAGGTCCAATATATGTATTATGCCATTTTTTTTTACAACAATGTAGATTCTATTTCAAAGCAAAAGGTTACAGAGG